CACCAGTTCAAAGACAAATAACAGTGCACAATAAATTGAAAATCCTAGACCAGGGGTTTGCAAATTACCACTTGCCACCTATTTTTGTAAATAAAGTTTTATCAGAACACAGTTATGCTCATTAATGTGTACTGTAGTGACCACATACCAAAAAAGACTACCAATGGCATTTTAAATATCTTACACTCATATTATGTAATTTCTATTTATCATTCCTTGCCTTCTAGAAACCTTTTAGAATTTCTCACCCACAAATTCAAGGCAATGACTGGAGGTTTATTTTGTTTTGTTGTAGATAATATACTAAAAGATGAATGGTGGCTCAGTTGCTTGGTGTGTCATCCTACACACCTAAAGGTTGCGGGTTCAATCCCCAGTCAAAGCACGTATGGGAGGAAACTGATCAATGTTTTTCTCTCACACCAATGTTTCTCTCTCTCTCTCTTTCTCTCTCCCCGCCCCCCACTGCCCCAATCTCTAAAACCAATAAAAACATATCCTTGGGTGAGGATCAAAAAAAATAATAATAATAAAAGATTTTATAGTCCTAGCTTTGGCATGATAAAGTGTGACAGACATCTGCCCTTCCACCCATCTCAGCACAATTGATTTTTTTTTTAAGTGAAAGGTGTTGCCCTAGTCAGTTTGGCTCTATGGTTAGAGCGTTAGCCTGTGGACTGAAGGGCCCCAGGTTTGATTCCAGCCAAGGGCACGTACCTCAGTTGCAGGCTTGGTCCCCTGCCACGGAAAGGATGTGTGCGGAAGGCAACCAATTGATTAGTCTCTCTCACAGCAATGTTTCTCTCACTCTCTCTCCCTTCCACTGTCTCTGAAAAGCAACGGAAAAAATATCCTCGGGCATGACTTAAAGAAAAAAAAAAAAGTGAAAGTGTTCAGTAAATTTTTGTTTGTCAACAGCAAAATAACATTTTGAATTTTCCATGAACATTAGTGTACCTATCAATGGAATACTATACAGCCATTAAAAGGATAAATTAGAGCCATATGTACAAGTTTGAGATGTCTGCAATATATTTTGAAAAAAGCAATTGCAAAATATGTATAATGTAATTCTATTTTGTTAAGAAACAAGTAGAAAAAATCGCAGTTATGTACATATCCTCACATACTTACATAAAACTAGGAACATACACATTCAAGACTAGGAGGTAGGTGGAAAGGGACAAAGTGGGAGATTTACTTTGTGTCATTTCTTTAGCATTTTAAATCAAAGTGGACATAAGCTCACAGTAAAACATACAAACAAAAGCAATTCATATAGTACAAAGAATATTTAATAAAAAAGCTGAAAAGCCTCCTCTTCCCCTCAAAATGCTATCACCATAAAAAGTCCTCCTGGCCAACTATAGCCACTGTTAACCTGTTTAGTTTGGCTTTTTTTTTACTTTTTTTTTTTTTTTTAATCCTCACCTGAGGACATGTTTTTTATTGATGTTAGAGAGTGAGTAAGGGAGAGGCAGAGAGAAAAAAACATCAATTGGTTGTCTCTGTAGGCATCCCAGCTGGGCATTGAACCCTCAACATGGGTATGTGCCCTGCCTGGGAACTGAACCTTCAGCCTTTTTGGTGCACACCAGCCAGGGCTAGAGTTTGGCATTTTTGATGTATAAAAAATTCTAATACCCCAATAAAAGTGATTTCTACTTTTGTGCACTGAAGAGGGCATCCCAAATATCTGAGATGTAGTATATAAATAATACTTTCCCATATTGTCAGATTATGCATGCACTGGTAAAAAAATAGGGGAAAATAATGGAGACAGAAAATCAGGAAACTGTATATTGTCTGATCACACAGAATTTTGAAGATAAAACAATACACCTAACAAAAATATCTTGAAATAATAGTTTCATTCAAAAAATCAATTTTCCTTTTTGTAAATATGTCCATTCATAAGAATTCAAAAGATTACAGACTGTGTATTAAAAGCACACTCCTCCTAATTCTACCTCCAAGAAAATCTACTTTTAATAGTTTGTAGTCTTCCACACTGCTTTCCTTTATATTTACACTAATAGATTTTATGTCAGTACGTATGCTTTTTATGAATTTTTTAAAAAAATAAATTTTTACATGTTATTAAAGTAACTTAAAAGCATATTAAAACATTTCAAAACAAGATAATATTTCTTAGAAACTAGCCAAAAATAGATGAGTTTGTTGATATTAGAGCAAAGACGCTTCTCTGTACAGGTAATTTATCCCTTTGATGGTTACATCCCCATTAACCTAGTCTGTATATACCATCCTTATGTAAATAGATAATGGAAGGACACTGGGGTTCTGGAATCAAAGTGGCCTGAAGCTGAATCTGTTTTATTGTTTACTAATTCTTGGCCAAGATACTTAACTTTGCTTTAGGTTTCTTATGGAAAAAGGTAGCTACTAATACCAAACTAATAGAATTAGTGAATATGTATGACAGTGCAAGCACTATTATCAACATAGGCAGCATGTTTTAGTTGACTACATGGTTTAATCTGAAACTGAATGAAGATCCTTAGCTGCAGTTTCTTTTCCCATGTGTAAAACTAATTACTTTGCAATAATTAAGCCTGGAATGGAAATTCCAATCCCCACATCTACATTTAATTGAACAATACAAACATATCTAAGGCTTTTCAAATGTGCATGCATTAATTCTACTTCTAGAAATTTATTTGAAGGAATTAAAGGTCAAACATTTAGTTACAAAGATAGTTATTGCCACATTGTTTATAGAAAGAAAATATAAACAACCTGAATGTCCAATAAGGGTTGGATTAAATTAAGAAAATAACCACTAAAATTAGTGTAAAAATATGTTTTAGATTGGGTGGGTAACATCTAGCCCTCTGGCTGTATAAGGCTGGCAAAATTATTTGGTCTTGCCCTGCCAAGGCCTCACCAAAGAGAAGCAGTTCCAGCTATCACATTAGGGGTGAGTTAATTACATGTTTGACCATATATAACAGGCTAATTTTTAAGTTGATAATTTTGTATGGTCCCAGAATGATGTTATAAATATCCAAATGGTCCTTGGCAGAAAAAAGGTTCCCCACCCCTGCTTTAGACAGAAAGAGGATACCAAACAGAATATAAAGTATAATCTGTTCTTGAACTACACACAGGAAAAACCATCCAAGTTTTATTTCTGAGTGGAAAAATTATAATTTTTAATTTCACTGTTTAATGTGCCTGTATTTCTACAATGAGCATGTACTACTTGTGTAATAATTATTTTCAGTAAGAAAATGTTCAGAAAAAATTAATTTTTCTTTTTCAATTTATGCATGTTCATTTCTTCCTTTCTCTTCAATTTATGCATGACATGAGAAGAGAGGCTAGTACAAGCACTCCAACTTTACAAAGGTGAAATCTGAAGAATTAATAGGTTAAGTTACCTGGCCTTGGTCCCTTAATTGTAGGCCAAAATTAAACAATTATTTCTTTCATTAACCTGTCCTTGGTTTATACATAGTATCCTTCCCCATGTTACACATCAAGTATGTTAAAGAATGAAACAAATGTGAAAATGTATGGATGCTTAAGCCATCTAAATGCAGCATTTCTTTCCTCTTTTCCACAGAATCCTTTTATAATATATTTGCATCTTAGAAATACCTGTGTCATGTTACCTTGATGTCAGCAACTGGAATATGGAAACATTTTTTTTAACATAAAGAAAGGAGCTCTAACAGTACTATGAAGATTAACTGACATATGCTCATATTCAAGTATATAAAGATCCAAAATTTCAATAGAAATATAATGCGTATCTGGAAAAGGTGATATAAAACCTTCTAGAATATTCTTCAGAGAAACCAAAGCAGGCTGCTTCAAGTAAGCTACTCTTGACATATTTAAAAATTATTCACAAAATTGTAGTAATTTAAACATTTAAAGACTTAGCTTAAATTAACACTGATCTTGGTTAAGATTAGTCTTATATTTAGGACCATTCTGAAGGGTCAAATTAACATGTTTAGTTACTTTTCCATAGAACGTAAGACATGGAAACTTGGTTTCCTCATAAAATTACCGGTAACAGGAGCCTACAAAAAGCAGCCAATTTTTCATATCCCTGCCTTAATTATATTCTTTGCCAACAAACTTCCCAGAGAGACAATGGAACATGTACGAACACGTTTCCATGACATACTGCCACTCCTTTGAAGTCTTTCATCAAGTGTTCGCAACAGACTCACTCCTCAATCATGTTTACACAGGACAGCTGCCTCCGACTCTCCAACAATTCATTCTGTAGAAATACGCTTTGGATAGATTCCAGCTCCACCACTTCCCATTCAAGGACGCACATCACCTACACCCGAGGCCGACGACTCCCGGCCCCGATCCTCTCCTATCAATGCACCATTAGCACGCCCCTGGAAACCTGGCCATTTACCTGGAATTCTCAAGGACGCTGGGGCAAAACCCTGCACACCTCAAAAACAAAACTGCTACCCTATAACTCTTCTGATTTGTGCGGTCTAAGCTTTCATTTCTTACTTTTCTGCGAGAAAGCCGTCACGCAGAGAGAGACAGGCAGAGGCGGAGCGCAGAATGAATGCAGAATTCTTT